TCATCAAGCTGCACAATTAATTGATTCAAACTCACTGCATTCTAATCTTAAGTTAAGAATGAAGCGGATATGAACTGCGCCAAGCCAGATGCGTTCAGTAATTGCTGCCAACATTATAAATAATAGTATATTTAACAGAAACGTACGTAGTAATGTGTATAAATAAAACACCTGCACAATGAACGTGTACATGTGATTATCCATAATTATTACGAAATTCAAATTAATAATTCATTACATAGTGTATGTAATTAGCTCTAGTTACACAATAGACTTGGTTGACTACGGCAATTACCATACGGAAATTATTCGCGGCTGTTGTAACATATATTTTTCTAAGAATACGCGGCTCTTGTTCTTGCATAGTGTTATGAACTGCTTATTCATATCTCAAAGTCACTTTGAATACTCAGCTTTCGTTCTAAGTTGATCGATCTTTACACACTGGGAACTGGCCGGTATGATCGATCCTTTGTTAGTATGGTATTGAGAACTTTCAGCTTAGGGACCAACATCTATTCTCACCAGTCCTTCCACTATAAGCGGTATCAGAACAAATGACAAAATTAAGACATACTCTTTGACTCCTGTGCCTAGGACAAAAAAGCCTTGTAGTTTTTGTAAATCCAGTGGCGGTGGAGGCCACCTCTAAAGCCACCCTTGACATGAACCCATTTTATGCTGGCTTGTTTTATGAAACTCAATGTTCACAGTCTTGAGACGGGGATATCTATCTGTTGCTAGTAACTTCAATTTCATTAAACGGGTCTCTCCAGTATGACTCGCATATTTAGAGACTTCAAATACTGGTGTAAACCAACCTTATCACATTTCCAAATATTATCTTTATATCTGAAATACACATGTTATCTTGGTGCCGCGAATTTTTTCCATAAAATATTTTATATGTATATAGTATTTTTTTGGAAAAAACTTCTCATCAAGCCCGGCTTTCAAATTTATATCTCAAACAATAAATAAGCTATGATGCAACTACCAATGCAACCTGAAATGCAATACAGGCACACGGCAGTTGTTAATGGTTTATAGTAGTTTTTAAATGACAATAGCATCCTACAACACGTTCTAATATCGATTGCATGGTGTTTCTTCTTTGTTCACCGATGTAGACAGGAAGGAAACTGCATTACACAAAAAAACTAATCATAATTTGTAATAACTAGAGGTCTGTAATCAAGCGTAATTTATCCTTATTTTTCAGTCTTCACTAAGTAATAACCTATAGTTGTAATTATTATGTATGAATTAAGGCTCGCGTCAACAGATCCGCTTCACATGCAGTGGTCGTACCAAATGGATTTTAGAATTAATTGCTCACAATGTAATAGAAGAGCTATTCTGACGAGTGCGTCATACGGATTTACGGACCAGTGGACGCAACACTATCGGCGGTACCGGTCACTTGAGTTCATAAGTGTTTTATTAGCTAATAATACAGAGGTGCAGACTATGGACGAAAACGAATGCTACCTCGACTTTAAGAGTGCAAATTCCGGTGTGACGTCAGTCTATCTCTTTAGCACGCATATCGACACTCGGTGACAAAATTATCCAGAGGGTGGCAAACGTTCACTCTTATGGTATATGGTGCTTTAGCACGTAATTTGTGCTTAATTTTGTTAGTTTATCTGGTGTGTTTCAAATAAGTCTCTATGTGAAATATAACATAATTAAAAAATAGTGATTAACGTATTAGCTGTATGGTGTACTTTGCAGCGCTGGGTGGTTCAAGCAACAAGAAAACCAAAGAGATTTCGAATTAGCGTTTCTTCAGTTTTCCAAAGATCAAACAAGTTTGCAAACAATCGGTTCTGAAGGGTTATCAGCAACACAAATTTCATAAATGATTATAGTAAAATGTAAAGAACTCGTTCATATTTCCGACAATTTCGACGCAGGGTAAAATTGTTAATGGATTTAGTAATGCCAGTTAGTGTAAGTGCACATGACAATAAATCCAGAACTGGAAGAGAAAAATGATGAAAACTGTAAAATAAACTGAATAAAATTGTTTACAATACAAAATACTTTTATTAACGCCTACACATAAAAAAGATTAAAAACCCATTTACTCAACACTTATACAAAATTATAAAAATGTCATATACACTGTATTTTGGTCTCCATTCTTTTCGTGTATAAAAAATTAATATAACAAATTAATATATGTCTCTGATACACAAACCAATATGTTTCAATAAGAAAGTAAGTCATATGTAGCTCTAAATAAATTTTGGTCTAAAAAGCTACAAGCGCATTTGCAATTATTAAGTGTTAAGTTATTTAGAACCCTTCAAATTGTAATTTTCCAAAAGTGAAACTTTACTATTCTGTCTATGATGATATACTTCATTAAATTTTATTGTCAAAGCTTCAAAATATAAATGAAACATATAATAGTAAAATTAACATGTAAAATCAATAACATAAAATGTTAGGTAAATATTCAAAAGAAAACGCTGTAATACAATGCATTTTATACCGACGAGAGGAACATTTGTCACCGAGTGACGTCATGCGCAAAGTGAGCATAGCTTCACAAGTATCATGAAGTATACCTAAACATACGTACCTTCGCGAAAAAAAATTATGAATTATTTATGTTTATCCACATAAAAGTACTTTGACAAATAAGTAGCCGGTAAAAAACAATATGAATCTTAATTTGTCAATCCGTGATGTTCAGTAATAGGTTACTGATCGCTGTTTTGTGATTAGCAGTTTTCATTCCTCAAAAATACTTCAAGTATCATACATTGAATAAATATATTTATAACCGAACATTGTAATTGGCGTATTTGAAGATAGACACTAAATTGTAGATAATTTGCGTATAAACATATTATTACATCAAAAACAGCTGTGCAAATATTGACAAATGTAGATAGGTAATATCCTGTTAAAGTGTTTGGTTTTTGTTAGTATTTTTAGATAATAACTTAGTATATATTTATTTTAATCTTATAATTTTATGATGGTTTGTGTTAAAAGCATCTCATGCTATATGGCTACGATGGCAGCCTATAACTAACTTATACCAATGATTAACGTATTCGACCTGAAGACAACCTAATGCTACATTTCCGCGTCCATAAAATTATAAGAGATAAATAATACCTATATACTTTGAAAAGGTTAATGTTTAATGTCCCATAAGTTACACTGCAAGAGCATATACAAGCATACAGGTGGCTACAGCGCCGTCAATGAGACAATAACCTTTTCAAAGTATATATATATATCCTTTTATACTTGAACCACGAAGGCCTAGGCCTAAACACCCCATGAGGCTATAGGGGGATACAGAGAAAAGAGAGGGTGCCACACGGACTGTAGCGAGGAAACACGTGTGAATGCCGGGTGGCACCTCCACGTTCGACAGTTAGAGATCATCTACCTCCTTCGAAGTAAATGGAGCTGAGTCAAATTCTCATAAATGAATAATTTTATCTTGGATAATTTATTGGACGCGGGAATATAGCATTAGGTTGCCTATCCTCGGGTAGAGTACCCCTAATAAATACGTTAATCAATGCTCATTTTATATATTCTCAACGCCGTGAAGGTCTCATAGTACATCCACCATATTTTTAACTAGCAGAAAATGCAGTTGTTTAGCTTAAGTGAATAAGTGATTCAATCTATCGGAATTTGACTTCACATGCATGATTCACATAAAATAATCGAAAAATGAGTACTAATCTGATAGATGAAGGCTCTGTTATAGATGATTTATTAGGAATCAAATAACTAAAGGATTTAGAAGTTAATTAGGATTTACTGCAAATACTTTCTTTGTGGGGCATGGGCAGTCTGATAGACATTTAAAGCTCATATAAAAATAATAATTTATTCATGATTGCAGGACGAGTCATACAAAATAAATACAAAACGGATTTGTAAAAGAGGTCATTATCAATGGATTTGCTCATATAATCTCTCGATTACTTTGTGAATTTTGAGCAACAGGTAATTTTGCTTTAATTTAGAGTTATCAGTCCTGCTCAAGGGAGGATTTGGGGATCTGTCTAGGGGGGGGGGGTGGTAGTGGACAGTTGATGTTCAGGAGGATCTTCGTCAACGTAGGGAGGAAGGAGAGGTGGAACCTAGAGGGACAAGAACGTCCAACGATTCAGGATGTAGGTATATTATTTTTTTTGAAAAAATTGGCTGGCTTGAGCATCTAGAGGAAGCGTACTCCTCGCGCCCCCTCTAAATCTGCCAATGATAGGCTTTTGGCGGGACTTCCCTCTTTTTGGCGCCACTACTACCTTCATACTTTTGTATTTTTGGAAGACCCAACAAAACTAAATCCAAAAATAGCACCAGTCAATTAGTAGTAGAGACATTTTGATGATCTATAGTCACACTGTCTACACTGTTAAATTTGTTTATTGAACTCAAATGCTCAAATGCATCGTTTTGTTGCAGTCAGTTTGAGTTATAGACGACAGAGGTCCTAATTGAGGATGCTTCTGTTACTTGTGTCAGACCCTACATTTTTGTCGAACATGATCATAATAAGTATAAAAAGTAATTGAACCAACATTATAGACGTATGCAGCTGGCTTTTTTATAGGATCCAACATACCTCCGAATCTACTGGCAGAATTCAAAGTTTACACAAACCGGTTTTAGCACAACCAAACAACACTACCAAGCACAAACTTAATCGCACATTACATCACACTTGGCGAATCTTTTCGAAGAATCGACAAAATATTGAGACACCGACACGATCTTTATTATATTTGTGATCATTTCGACGCTTAGTATATTTTTATGGATGCAACACATCCGATGTTAAAGTCGAAAGTGAACACAAATCGATCGTAATATAAAGCTTACCTCACTAACTTGTTCGCACTAATTACCGTTGCCACACTCAAATTGTCCGGTTCAAAAGAACAAAATTTAAAAACAAATCCATGGAATATGTACAGAATTGAGATTCTCCAAGACCTGAGCATAATACTTACATTTTTTTATAGTTTACAGCAACTATCCTCACTAGCTGATAGATTATCCTTATTTGTCGATAGAATCCAAAGAGTACACAAACAACTAGTCATAACACAAGCATACATCACTGTCAAGCACAAACCTAATCGCACAGATAACCGTTGCGTCGCACTCAGCGCATCATCCGGCTCGAAGGACCAAAAACTTCGCGTCTATCGCGAGCAGTGTGGCTGCCGCACAGTCTACCGTACCGAAGCTTACTCTCGCTCGCCGAACCGACGACTACTACTACTACGAGCTTACGACCGTGGACCGTCCGTACGCGCGAGACGAGAAATAAACCTGTACACAGTGGGCAGGCTAACGACTAGCTCTTACACTAGACCGTAGACCCGTATTCATGCGAGGAATGTGTTTGTAAGATTTATCTTGGGACCGACCGCGGATATCAGTCGGTAGGGGTTATGTGTATCGTCTCTTCTCTGCGTGGACATATATCAAAGGCTGTTCTTGTTAGTGTAGGCATAGTTTGCCAAATAATATGTCACTTAAGTCACACACTAGCATAAAGACTTTAGTTCCACAGCTCTTTATTCGATATAGAGCTCGGTAGGTTTATTACATAAAAAACCTATATAATGTAAAAAACGACAAAATGTCTACTTCCTGACTAGGTGTGCAAAAAGTTCATTCCGGTATTGGTCGATGTGAGTGACTCTAAAAGCGCCATCTGTGGAGGAATGATTCAACGAGCCGCTCAGTGACCAGCTGCAAGTCAGTTCCTCAGCATGCTTTGCTGGTAGCAAAATGCCGAGATCTGTAGAGTATGTCTTTGAGAAGATGAGAGAAAGAAAATTGGTTGAGTAGCAGAGTAGCAAGATCGCATCTTGATGATTGTGTGTATTGTATTGGTCTGCTTGCTGCTTGTGTATAAAATCAGTGTTATTTGCTATGTGAGAAAATTATTACTGAATATGCTGCCCATGAAGTATGTCTATTAGCTATTCCAGACGGGAGACGGGTTATTTGTGTTGTCCTTTCTGAAGAGAGGTTATGTTCAAAGTTATAAATTACGACTTTCCCGGTTTTTTGCTTTTTGAAAAACTTGGAGAAGCATTACGGAAAATCACCATCGCGTCCGCGTTGTGTATAATTTAGCCACATCGCAGAAAAATTAGGGATGACGTATCATACACAAAATATTTTCACCGTGCCTCACATCTAGGCGCTGATTTGTATTTTCAACTTGACATCGCAAAATAAATTTCTATAAAATTTAAACGTTTGGACATATAAATGATAATGTAAAATGTAATCACTTTTTCACGTTTCATAAATATTCCTGAATGGAATATTTTCTCAACTGTTGGTTATAATATACTTCACCAACCAGGGGATTTACTTTTCTTTATTTCTCTCATCTTTGAATTTGAGCAAAATTTGTACATGTAATTCTCAGGGTGAATAAGAAAAAGGCACTAATTCCTAGATTCGCAAAAATCGCAAGTAACTGAATTTGGAACTAGAACCCAAAGAAATTATAATCAACACAGATTATTAGCACACAAATCCTCACTATTAGACCTTCAATAGTGCCACCTCTGGAGCAGTTGTTGGATCGCATCACAGCAAAACACTGATAGCCGAAGCGTCATCACGTTTAGGCGACATGTACAGTTACCGAACCAGTGTAAATCAAGCAAACAACACCTAGTTCTAGGTTGACATCATCTTTTTTGCGGATTTTGCGCATTATTTTCTTACTTTTTGTTATATACCTTTCTCCGTATGATCATTTTCTCTTTGTACCTTTGTAGATCCATTGGGCTTGAAGTACAACAGCAAGTGGCTATAACCGGCCGCGTGGTAGTAGTTAGATGTCTCCTTGAATATTCGAGGTCTTCCTGCCATTTTATACTACAATGTGTAGGTTGGCTCTTGTTGGACTTCGTGTGTCGATATTTTTTCCCTCTCCTTCGTTTCCTCGGGTTAAACCCGTATCCGGATGTGTGGATATGTGTATCTAATTTTGTAGTTGCATATGTAGATTCATTTCTCCCTTGATGAAGCCAACCAGCAGAAATACGTATCGCTCGGGACCTATCATATTTTCTGCTCGAATCTACTTTCATCTTTTTTGCGGATTTTGCCCATTATTTTCCTACTTTTAGTTATATATATACAGATACATGGTGGCGCATCGAAAACGAAACAGACACATTTACTGGCAGCTCAGTTTTTTTTTTGAAAAACGCTCAGACCCGTCGATTTTGTTTTCGAGGGGGACACAAGTTTGGCAAAAAATCTCGTTAACACGTGTAGCCCCCTGGGCGGGGGTGACACCAACCCTAAAATCTTAAATGGAAAGGGGGGTCGAGTGATACCTTATTTTAAAGGTCTCTCAATTCCCTTTATAATGATGTAAAATATATGAGCTTCAGTTCAGTAGTTTTGAAGATTTATTGATTTAAAGCTTAAAGTAGACTAATAGGTCCATCAGATTAGTTTGTACTACTTTCAGAAGAAATTTGACTAAAAGTATTTACTTAATAGGCAAATGCTTTTCTTCACTACGCCCATGGTTTGTTTATCATTTTGTTGTTGAAAATAGCTATTTAGCGTTTTTTTGTGACAAAAAAGTTATTTCTTGAAGAAAGATAAGGAAATATCTCGCACTTATTTTAAATAGGAATTTACTACATAGTTTGCAATTGATTTGGCCAAACTTTGTTGCTAAAATAACATGTAACGCTTTATTACATAAATTAACCATGGTATATTCCACAGCAGAAAGAGTTGAAATTATCGAAATATTTTTCGGAAATAATCAGTGCGCTAATAGAACAGCAGAAATATTTAATGAGCGACATGAGAACAGTAACGTGCATCGAAAATACGTTCTAGAACTTGTAGCTAAATTTCGGGAAACTGGGTCAGTCGCCAATAAAAAACTTCGAAAATCCCATAAGGAACGAAGCTATAGAAGTGGGGGTTTTAGGGCAGGTTTATGTAGATCCTACGTTAATTACCCGCAATTGGAGACTGAGTGTGGTGTTAGTCGACGTACTGTCCAACGGATTCTAAAGGCCCATAATTTTCATCCGTATAAAATTCACCTGGTACAAGAACTTAATGAAGACGATTTTGATCGGCGATTACAATTTTGTGAAGATATGAGTGAACGAATTATAAAAGATGAACATTTTCTATTCAACACTTGCTTTTCCGACGAATGTTCCTTTTTCTTAAATGGCGTAGTAAATCGTCATAACTGCCGATATTGGTCCGATTCTAATCCCAGAATTTATCATGAGGTTCATACACAGCAGCCACAAAAATTAAATGCTTGGGCTGGTATTTTTGGCGGTCATTTAGTTGGTCCTTTTTCCTTACCTGGAAATTTGACCGGTAAATAATTGAAAATCAGAATGATCGGCGGTACATTGCGAATAGGTTGATGTTCCAACAGGATGGTGCCCCACCACATTACGCATTACGTGTTCGACAATATTTAGATCAAAAGCAAACTCTATGCTACTCAGCCAACATCATTAGAAGACCTGCGACAAAGAATTGTGGATTAGTGCCTTCAAATTACTCCTCAAATATTGCAAAATGTGCGGCAACGTTTTGAGCAAAATCTTGATTATTGCATGGAGAGTCATGGTGGCCATTTTCAACATTTACTTGCCTATCGGGTCAGTTCGTTCTTCACTTTTAAATTACTTTGCTGCCAAATGTATTGATCTCCACCAATGATGATTTATTAGTTTTATTTAAGCCTTAAATCAATAAATCTTCAAAACTGCTGAACTGAAGTGCATTAATTTTATATCATTATAAAGGGAATTGAAAAACCTTTAAAATAAGGTATCACTCGACCCCCCTTTCCATTTAAGATTTTGGGGGCGATGTCACCCCCGCTTAGGTGGCTGAACGTGCTAAGGTGATTTTTTGCCAAACTTGTATACCCCGCGAAAACAAAATCGACGGGTGTGAGCGTTTTTAAAAAAAAAACTGGGCTGCTAGTAAATGCGAGTGTTTCGTTTTCGATGCGCCACCCTGTATATATATACAGGGTTATCCAAATTAAGTGTCCACCATTAGTAACTTTGTTATTAGTGAAAATACAAAGTTGTTTGAATTAGCAAACTAGTAGCATTTTTAACGCTGGTAAAAATGAGAAATAAAAAAAAACAATTGAGAGTCGTTATTTTGATTTTTTTCAGTAAAATAACATTTTTTTAAATGGAAACCCCTGTATATTATATTTTTTTCTGTTAAAGCATCAAATTTTAAACAAAAAAGCTTACAATAACTTTTCTCCTAGGTTACAAATTGTTGAAGTTATGGCCTCCAATCTGAAACAATTAAATTGTATCGACAAACTTTATTTTCAACATCAACTTATAATCTTACAAAATACAATAACAATTTTTTTTAAAGAAGATGCTCGAAAACACCACCTTGTTCTTCAATACATTTTTGGCCACGTTTTTCAACTGCTCGAACTGTCTTAAGTATGGTCCTACCATCTATCTGGGTTATCTTTTCCCTAACTGCAGTCTTTAACGCGTCAAGGTTATCGTACCTTCGCTTGTAAATTTGGTTCTTTAAGTAACCCCACAAGAAGTAATCAAGTGGGTTTAGATCTGGTGATCTGGGAGGCCACTGTATTGGGCCATTTGTTCCTATCCACTGATCATTAAAAGTAGTACTTAGAAAATGATAAGTACCTCCGGAGTTGTGGGCAGGTGCGCCATCTTGCTGAAAATGCAGATGATGTCTACTTATAAGATCCAATTCGTCTAAGAAATTAGTCAGAATTTCTGACATAAATTCCACATATCTTTCACCAGTTAGGGTTCCCTCATAAAAGAACGGGCCAACAATTTTTGAACCAATTATACCGCACCAAACGTTGAAACTGAAACTGACTTGTGGGCCTCTTGGATGTACTAACAAAAGATTTTCTCTTGACCAATAATGGTGGTTTTTTCTATTAAACATTCCAGAATTTGAAAAATTTGATTCATCTGTCCATAAAAGGTAACGAAAGTTATTTACATTTTGGCGACAGAAGCTAAGATACCAATGGCAAAAAACAAGTCTTCTCTCTGGATCCCCTGCCAAAAGCGTTTGAACTGGTCGGTACTTATACGGAATAAATTTGTATTTTTTTAAAATCCTTTGAACAGTACCATAACTGAAATTAGAGTCCTTGAGAATATCTGCTATTGAATTCTCACGATAAGCTTCAAAATATCCAATAACTGCAATTTCCGTGGCCTCGCTTATTATGAATTCTTTTTTTGCCCTTGTTTTAGCAAAAACATTTTCGTTGCCCCTAAATTTTCGATAAAGTCTCAGAAAATATCGTTCATACGGTTGAATG